TGCATTCTCCCTCACGTACCCTGCAAGGGGGAAAAAAAACAAAAAAGGAGTTGATCGTGGTGTGATGTTCTACATGACTGTGCTATAACAGTGATTCTCTGGGAATCTCTTGGTTGTGTGGTTACAAGAGTACAGTGGGAGAGGTTTGTGAACATCAGTTTAATCAAATAAATGCTGTAGCACTCCAGCACTAGGTAAACAGCTCGCTATAATGTACTAGGCAGGTTCTGGGGTATCTAGCATTGCAGCAGACAAGTCGCAACGTAGCACTTCTGTAGCCTTGAAAACATTCCTACCAACATTAATAATCAAAATGCCTCCATGATGCAGATAAAACTAATGAGGCAGACGAGCGTGTTTGTCCAGGTTTTTGGAAAGAACCAACAACGCTGCTGAGATAAGTTCTCATCTCACAGTGCTGTGCTCAGAGCCCAGTGCCAAATTTCTCTCTCCTTTTATACTAGAAATGTGTTAATAGATGAAAATACAGTAATAAAAAAACACTGTAACGTTTGGAGTGTGGTGTAATAAAGGCCAGGATTTTTGCACCCATCAAAAACTGTCCACCATGAGGGACTTTTACCAGCTTTTGAAAGGGATGTGAGGAAGGACGTAACAAGACCTAGTGTTCACATTTTCTCTGTTCATGTGTCTTGCAGTGTCTAAGGATGTAGATAGTGCCTGTCAGGAGCCTTGTTGTGTAATAATTTGACTTCATTTTAAGCAGTAGCATCTCTCCAACACAAATGGCTGAGCAGCCAGAACTTTAAATCAGTCAAATAGCTCATGCCCTTTATTATGTCTCTTTCCCATAAGCATCAGTTAGAGGCATGTTAAAAATTACAAGAATTTTCCAAAAAATGTTCAACTACCGATGAGCTGTCCTGTCCCACTTGTCAAGTGGAATTATTGTTATTCTTTTTCTGGTCAATTGGGTCAGCAGAGAAAACTGCCTAGTCCTGAAGCCCTGGATTGCCAAATTGTCTTCTCCATGATGATTTTCAGCTGTGTATGTCTATGGCACAGAATATATTCCCAAAGCTTGCAGAAGAAGTTTGAATGGCTGAGTATGTTAGAAATAGGATTGTTTTTTCCCTTTGCTGGGAGGTTATAGTCACTTGCAATTGCTGATTCAAGGGGTAGTGACTGCTCTGTTCCTGCTTTCCTGGTCAAATATTATTTTGTATGCAAATGAATGTGTACATAGGACAGCTAGATGAGATACAGTTGAATTAGGTTGTTACTGCTGTTTTGCTATTATTTATGGTTTTTAGGAGGATCTTAATGATGCCTTACAGCCTGTTGTTTAGCCAGTGCCTGTGGGTATAACCTGGGCCTTAAGTTTTGATCTGCCAGTTCCTTCTTCTGGTACATTCAACCCTGACCTTGTTCCCCGTGAACCAAGGTGAAGATGCAATCATTCGTGTGAAGAGGCAAAATGTACACATTTGATTCTTATCTGTCTGTTCCCATGCAGTGATACCTGTAATGTTGGTCGTCTTAGAAATGCATGCAATGCTGGTAATTGCTGTGTTATCAGTTGTATGCATATATTTGGTGCTATTTAGCTTCACACTGCACAATATTAAGATTGTGATTGCAGACGTTAATGTAATGGAGATTAGAAGGTAAGGTGAATATGAAACCAAGTGCTGTGGGTGGCTGAGCAGCTGCAGTGCAGCTCACTTCCTGACACAGTTGAGCTAAAAGTATTTATCCCTACTCTCCTTTTTATGGAATGTTTTATTGACCAAGTGCATCCCCTTTCCATACTGAGTTCTGGGGCCTGAGTTTTTGCTTGTTTGGGGTATTACTCTGACTCCTACCAGTGAAACATTTCAGAAACATGGAAGCAAACCATAAAGCTTCATTTCACGAGGTGTTTTGTTGTTGCTGTTGCTGCTATGCTGTTGTAGCTTGCTGTCTGAGCTCTGCAGTTGCGGATCAGGATCTGCAGATGCTCTCTCCACTGGCTTTTTTCCTTTGGCTGTTAGGGAGTGATTTTAATTTGCATTAGAAAACTATTTTAGAAAACTAAACTACTAGAAAACTAATTTAGAAAATTAAAAAAAAATTGTGTGTTTGTGTTGCCAAATAATATTTATGGGAATTTTGTCCTCTAAAGAAGCTGTATAGTGGTGGACCATCTATACTGTTCAAGGTAATGTCCAGGATCCAGGTGACCTGCCTTTCTTTTCATTTCTGCTGCTTCCAACATTGACACAGGCTTCCTAAAATTATCATTTTTAATTTTTTTTAGTACAAAGCCTTATTGTTTTGAAGGTCTGAAAGCAGATTCTTGTCGTTATATTAGAAACTAGTAAAGCTCTCGTGGACGTGTTATCTATCCAGAAATGTCAGTTTAGCCCAGAGGTTACTCTTGCTGGGGTAGTCCTTGAAATAGAGAAGTGCTTAGCAGACTCTGAACTTCTTTTGTTCCCAGACAGCCTTTTCAAGCACTTCTAACAGCTATGGTCTTCTGCTTGCTTAAAAAAGGAAATTGTCTTGCATTTGGAGTAGATAGAGTTGTTGGCAGTGTCATCTTTCATTTGTACCATATGCCATTACAGATAATTAATCATTCAAAAATCATTTAAGAAATATGGAAGAAGAGGGAGGTATAAGCGTTATATTTTTTGTTCACCATGTTTTTTTTTTTTGTCAAAGCACCTGATTAATTTCTGCTGTTTGAATGTCAGTCATCGCTTCTAAGCACGGTAGAAGATACCAAGTAGCATCTTATGTATTCCATTATTTTTCTCCTCTTTGCAGGAGATTTACAAAGCTTTTGAAAAAAGAGTAGTTTTACTAGCAGTGCTTTCTGACAATTGCTGGTACAAGTTGTTCCCTTAACGGAAGGGAATCTTGATGAATGAAAAACTGTTGCTGTGTTTTCCTCAGGGAGCAAAGGAAGAGAGAAGCCTTAGAAGCTGTCTGGTCACCCAGGGCTGTTCCCTTCTTACATAGAGCTGCAAGTGACTGGAGGCCTTCCTTGTGCCATCACAGGTGTTCCTGGAGCTCTGCAGTGAACTGATCTGGCTAAAAACTCATTCAGATGAGCTCTTTTGTGTGGTTTGCAGCAATAACCTTGCTGCATGTTGTGTTTGCACATGGGGAGGAGTGATAGTGAAGTGAGAACAAGCAGCCAGTGGCAAGGAGGGCGGCAGTGCTGCTTCACTTGGGAAAATTGCTTGGATATTGTTCAGATGCTGCTCTTGTAGACCTTTCTTTTCATTTTATCATATCCTGGCAACCTGAGCACTGTTAGGAGTTTCTGAGATATTATTTGGAGGTGAAACTCTGCTATCTGCTTTTGGATTTGGAAACCAGTACCATCCTGCTCCGGATGGGAATATGAATTTGATTTTGATTTGCAGTTCTTCTGAGTCTCAAACTTCATACATACACCCAGATGAAATTTTCTTTTAGAAGAGTGTTCTTGTGAGGATTTGAGTTTGTTCTGCTTAGTGGTCTCAAGAAGATGCGTTCCATGTTGACTGTTTTCATTTAATCTGGGCAGTTGGTGGGAGCTGGAAGTTACCGCCTCTGGCTGATGTTTCCTGTACTGGACAAAATGGAAGTGTTGTTGTTCTACTTTCCAGTTCTGCAGTCTTGCTAAAATGTAAACGCTTGTCAGTTCTGAAACTACATCTAGAAAAAGAAGGAAAAATACATATATTGCTCTGTATGTGCTGAAGCATGTGGGAGAAACGTCTTCAGCAACCTTATGTTTTACTGCGTCCTGGTTTTGTTCTGGTAGAAGAAACTGCCAGAAAGAAAATACTGAAAACTGTTGGGCTTTGAAGTGTGTATGCTCCAGGTTGTTTTACTGCAGTAAAATTTCGCAGAGGGATGGAGGACCACAAGAGAGAGAAAAGTATCCTATTGCCTTAGTTTTATGTCAGATTTGGCCAGATAAGAAATAATTGCTGTAGCTGTTACTTGCTTTCTTATTGGGCTGTCTGGAATAAATCCTTAATGTAATTTGTTTGTGAAATACTGAAGCCTCCTGTTAGTTCTCTTATTTATGATGTAGTGTTTGTCTGTCAAACAACGCGTCTGATGCGGTGATACAGCTGGTGGAAAGTTTGGCTAAGCTAGGAATTCTGTATAATGTTATTAACTATTTGGACATAACCCCACCAAATTATTGTTTTGGTCCATGCTAATGAAAGGAATGGCATTATTCTGTGTTTAGCCTCGCTTATCTTTTGTAACTACTTCCATTACTACTTTCTTGATAGTGCAAAAGTAGTTTTGGGAAACATCCATTATGTGGCCAATATTTAAAAAAGAAAAATAAAATTGTGATCTTACTTGGAGGAATGGTAGAGACACAGGTGGGATTTGATACCAGAGGTCTTTTCAAGAGTGTCTTTATGAGTATTGGTTTGGAATCTTTGTTAAACATTGGTTACTACCAACACTATTTTACCTCCAGAAACAAGAATTGCTGGTGCTGTGCAGTTCTTGTTTTTCCATGGAGAATGGAGAATGTGGTAGGTTGCTGTACAGGCTGGACTTTGGAGCTTGGTGTCTGCAAGCTGCATGTTTGCATTAGTCAAAATACATTTGATCTGGCTGTTGGTGTGCTCCTTGGGAATTCGCTTGCACGTAATTTTTTTATTTGGCTAATGGAGGGCTGCTGATTGAAAGCAAATCAATTGACTAGCTAACTACTTGCATGGATGTCCTTATTTTAGATTGAGAGTTCCATGTTAGTTTGAGAGGCTGGGAGAAATATGCTGTCATTGTGAAATGAGTGCCAGCACAAATAGCTAGTTGAGAAGTGTTTAGGAATAACTCCCTGTTCAGACAAGTCTGTAGTTCAGTTCAAGTTGGATCTTCTTGTTTTGAATATATCCCTTATTGTAGTGACAGCAGCAATTCACAGACTGCTGCGTTGTGTTAAAGTGCTGACATTAGTAGAGAAATAACTGTTGCTAGGGCTGCAACAACAACAACAAAAAAAGCAGTACTATGAATGGTTTTCTCCCCAGGTGCTGAAGAAGTGTTGCTGCTTGCTAGGAGGACTGACTTGAGAAGGATTTCCTTGGACATGCCAGACTTCACTGACATTATTCTGCAGATAGACAATATCAGGCATGCAATTGCCATAGACTATGATCCTGTGGAAGGCTACATCTACTGGACTGATGATGATGTTCGGGCAATTCGTCGGGCGTACCTTGATGGCTCTGGAGCACAGACTCTGGTAACCACAGAAATCAACCATCCAGATGGAATTGCTGTAGACTGGGTGGCAAGGAACCTGTACTGGACTGATACTGGAACAGACCGCATTGAAGTGACCCGTTTGAATGGGACGTCGAGAAAGATCCTTATATCAGAAAATCTAGATGAACCTCGTGCAATCGTGCTCAATCCTGTGATGGGGTAAGTTTTGTTTTTACTGGTAGCCCTACAGTAGTAGGCTTTTGGGTTCAGTTTGTGCCCTCTTGAAACTCAAAATCTGCAAATTACAAGATTATGTGTATATTATTTGTCAAACGTTCATTTTGTTCTAGACGTGACAAGCTTTCCCTTGCTTCATCTATCACATACATATGCTATGTATGTGGTGTAGAAGGTGACTGCTAAATACAGTGTTCTTAAATGAAAATGTGTTGAGTGTGGTTTGTTGAATTTTATTTTCTCTGTATCTTCAGCATTACAGCTGTTAAAGAATCAGACCACTGCACGCTTTCAGTACGTTGAGTTAACAGTTTGCTTTAGATTATCATTACTGCTTACAGAATGTACAGAATGGCTGAGGTGGGCAGGGGTTAGAACTGGGTGACCATTGATGTTCCTTCCTATCCAAGCTATTCTACAATTTAGTCCAACTCCGCTCAAGCAGGGACATCTGGAGCAGGGTGCCCACAACTATATCCAGGCAGCTTTTGAAGATTGTCACAGAGGAGACTCCAAAACCTCCCTGTGCGGAAGGGTTACAGTTCAAGTTGGTTGGTTTATTTGCTACTACGGTTTGGAAAGCAGAAAGTTAGCAAGTTCTTTCAAAAATAGAACAGATCTTGACACTTTCTGTATTGCAGGTTATGTGCATTGACTGTTTCTGCCCTTTTCTTCACAGCTACATGTATTGGACAGACTGGGGTGAAAGTCCAAAGATAGAATGTGCTTATTTGGATGGATCAGAGAGGAGAGTTCTGGTGAATACGTCCCTGGGTTGGCCTAATGGCTTGGCACTGGATCTGGAAGAGGACAAACTTTACTGGGGAGATGCAAAAACAGATAAAATTGAGGTAAAAGCTGATCGCACGGGCATTCTTAGAAAACAAGTACTGTTATTATGTGCAGCTTTGCATCTTGGAATCATTTATCCATTTTTTTGAGGAGTCTCTTGTTTTGTTAAACATAGTGTTAAAATGAACGAAACGAGACGTATTTGAGAGGAGAAGCACATTTGAGCATTTCGTTACTTCAGAAAACATTTGTAAGAGGTGCTATGTTATATCAAGAAATACACAATTAGAAACGCATTGCTGAAAGTATAGTTTGATTGCTTCAAATCTCAGGTTTGATCTGGGGCCTTCCCAACAGATGGGATACTTGGGTATAACCTTCTTGACTTTGGCCTTGTCTGTGGTGCTTGGAACTAGCATCTGAAATTGCTGCATGCAAAGACTTGATGCAAGATTTGTACAGGAGAAGGTGGATGTGGACGCCTTAGAGATCCATACTTCAGGACCTTGATGAGTATGTGCTGTCCAGAGATACATGGAAGAAAAGTTATTTTTGCACTTGGGAGGCCTGAGATGTTTTAAGAGATGCCTTTTTTCCCATAGTTTTTGCCTTACTATCCCATGATTAAATCTTAATCTAAAACAGTAATTGTGAAGAATGCTACCACAGATACTAGACCTACAGAGAACTGAGTCTTGAAGTAGTTTCACTGAGAACAGAAGGTGAAAAGTTAAACAACTGTAAAATGTAGAATCTAGTTCTGGGGCAAGGCAATTTGGGCTTCTTTAATGTGTGTCCATGAGATTCTGATGTTTCACTAAATTTTTGGTTTTTTTGTCTGAGGTGATCCAGCAGATTTGTCAAGCTTGTTAATATTGGGCTGTAGAAGGGGATTGGTCTTTTTTGTCAACAAGGAATACTGATCTACAACCACTTTATAAATGTCATGTGGATGCATTTGTAAAACTGCTGAAGGTCTGTATGTAGGAGTAGGCTTGCTTATGTGAGTTGGTCTGTTTAGTTTGAGGCAGTTGAGAAGAATAGAAGTGTGAGAAAAGAGAGGAAGACATCTCAGGAACCGCTACACAGCCAACTCACAGAGTGGTTGTCAGCTTTCCACTACTTTTCTATAGCTAGCTGAACGGTCATGATGTTAGTTGGGAAATAAGGGTGCTGGAGAGACTATTGGAAAGAGAGGAGGCTTTTTCCAAGAGAAAATAGAAGAATATGGGTACAGCTGGATGTTGTGAGAAGGGCTGAACAGCTGTGAAAAGTTGCTTAAGATGCCGTTATGTTCACCTGGTTACTGGCCCCTTTTGCTCCAGTTTCTCAGAAAGAAGGAAAAATTGGATTTTGAACCTCGCCTAAATTAGCTGTAGTAGTTGATGATTAATCTGAGGGTTTGGATGGCAGCATGAGATATGACCTGAGGTCAGGCAAATTCAAGAATTCGTACTCTGTTATTAGAGCTGTCATACTGACAAATGTTCCTTTTTAATATGTTGTTTTAATGCTATGGGCATCCGGTAGCAATAGGTTCCTTGAGCTATCTGTGGTGTGTTGTTGTTTATCTTTCACAAAGATGCTGGAAAAACAGTTGGAATGTTAAAGGTGCTAAATAATTAGCTCCGAGTATTTTAATTTCAAAAGAGAATTCTCCAGGGAATTTGAAACAGCTTCAAAGTAAATTAAGGGGAATAACCTAGCTAATTGAAATAAATTCATAAATAGAATTGCCAAACCAAAATGTGAGAAAGAAAGAGCTTTTTTCCCCCTTTCTTTCTAAAATAATAATGAAGTTTTCTTCCTATGGCATGAGCTTGTTTGTTGAGATTGTGTTTTGACTGTGCTGTTATAACAGTCTATTTCTGTAATGATACTTAAAAGCAAGATAGAAATTTCAACCTAGTCCTGTGAAATCAGTTGAGTTTTTACCTTATTTGGGGTAATAGTATGTACAGCATAAATAAATGTTGAGGCCTTTGGTAATGGCTCTGCTCTCTAAAGTTTTTGCCATCTGGAAGAAGGGAATTAAGACTGTCTGCTAGCTTCAGACGTGTAACTTGAATGTTTGGCAGTGGCTTGGTGTGCTGGGCTTGATGACTTCGGGTGCAGTCCTCTCCCTCCTTACCTTTCAGGCTGTAGGAAAGAGAATGTTCCAGATTCCACCTTTTGTAGCTGGAACTGAAATTGTGCAATTCATTTCACTGGTTTAAACTGTCTGTTCAGTCTGTCTTACTTCATTGTAAGACAGTGAAGCCAATGGTACTGTTTGGTTTGGCATCACAGTTTAGGAAAATCAGAGGAGCCAAAGTAAGGGCTTTTTATTCCCTCCGTTTTTCTTTTGCTTATTATACTTACTTTTTGTGGTTCTCTGCTGCTCACAAAAATAGAAGAGTAGTTCACTTGGTCTTAGGAACAGAAGATAATCTTACATGAAGCGGATTGTGACATCTCTAGGTTTTGATTGTCGTATATTGTGCAACCCAGTTTTAGTTGTTAGCACAAAGATTTAAATATTTAAATCTCCATGCTTCTAGCAATGAGTTTACATGTTCTTACATTAAAGCAGGTGTAAACACTCTCATTTTAAATCATTACTCTCACTCCCCAGCTTTTTTTTCCTGTGCTTTTTATCTTCATGCTCAGAATTTACTTTTGCTTGTTATCTTAAGCTGATTCCTTCTGACATTTACAAATACTTGAATAGGACCACTTAGGACATAATGGGGAAAAATGTCATGGATGGGTCTCTGACCAGTGCTGTGAAGGGGCATGTTGTGGTCTGTTCTGGACTGGTGCTGTGCAGTTGTGTGAGTTAAAGTGGCACTGGCATCCTATCAGGAGAAATGAATATTAAATGTCTAATGCAGAACTTCCATTAGAAAATAAATTTCCAGTTTCCATCTTGGAATGTGAGCCAGACATTTATACTCTGCTCACTTGGAAAAGAACTGCATGACTTAAGTGGTTATTGACACAGCTCAGGTATTGGCTGGTTCCACATCAGTCTCCAATAAGGCTTACTTTTACCAATCCTCCTCAAAAGATCAAAAAGTTGCACTGTGGAAATATTTCAGAATATCTAAGGTTTATCTAATGGATTGTATTTCAAATTTCTTGTTTATCTTGACATATTTGCAACCTTATAGTTCGTTCTACAAGCATTTTGGTGTTCGAGAGCTTCCTTCAGTACCACAGGCTTTCCCAGTAAGCTGTAGTTAGCACTGCCCTGCTAGCCAAGGTACATGTCAAGTCTTGCTGTATGGTATATGAGGTGGGACATTTCCATTTGTACTTTCTGTCGAAGTTATTCTTCACTTCAACACAAACTCATTGTTCTCATGTATGCGTTCTTTTGCCAAGAGAATTTAAATGGCTCGCCAGCGCAGCTAGTGTGTCTTGGTGGGTTGTTCTGTGTAAGTATATTGTCTACTGTTTGTCAAAACCAAAAACTAGCTAACTGAAAATCTTCTGGAAGCCTAAGATCTACAGGAGAGGCATAAGGTAAAGAGAAATTCTCATCCCCACTATTTTCCTCTATCCAGCCAATTGCATCTGTCTCTAAATGTCCCAGCTTACTGTGTAGAACTTGCAAAGTTGAACGATCTGAAGGCATTATCTCTGCTGCTGTGCAGAATGTAGTTGCACTTGGTCTGTCCATGGGAAAAGTAGTTAAGCCTGATGCCTGTTAATGTTAAAAAGTGCCACCTATAAGCCTGTACAATTTCCTCTAGTTTTCTGACAAACTACTTGTAGATAGAATTGCTTTCATTGTATGCTGTGTGTTCAACTGCCTTCCATTTAGGAAAAAGGCATGAATTCAGCTTGTGTGTTTGTTCATTTCTCTGCTCAGTATTCTGCTTTCTCTGGTATTTTAGATCTGCAGGAAGACCTTCTTGTGTCCCAAGTTCTTAAAGAAGTGACTCATTTTCATACGGCTTGGAAAATTGATAAGCCTGGGGCATCTGTCCTGATTTTGCTAGACCTTGGGTTTGAAATGTACTGTGAATGTCTGGTTATTTCCTTGTTTTTTTTGTTTTTTTTTTTTTGACACTCTTTTTAACAAGTTGTGACATTACTTCTGTATGCACTCTTCAGCAAATAGAAAAGAAATGCTGCAGAGCTGTTCAGGGTGCCGAGCCGTGTTCTGTACCAGGAGAGTATGTTCTTATTTGTGTGTCTAAAACTTCATGCCGTGAAAACAGCGGTTACTCTTTCCTGACAGAGACCTTCCCATCTGCAGCATTCAGCTGCAATACAAAGGGCCCAGTCACTCCACAAGCAGTTTGTATCCTGAAGAAACCATTTGGCAAGGCTTGTCAGACTTTGCGTGACAGCAGCCTATGGGGCTTTCACTGCAAATTTGGCACCCCGTGGTAACATTGTTCCCAGCTTTTTAAATTTGTGCTTGGTTTGGCAGAGTCCAAGGCAAGGAAAAATATATACTAAGTTTTGAGTCATGTCTGTTGAAATCATGTGTTTGTCCACACAGCTTTGGCTGTGAGTAAGGGGCACGGAGTAATCCAACAGAAATTTGGATTTTACTGACCGAGAAAAGGTACTTTCCAGGAATGAACAGTAGATTAATAAGGATTACAGGGTTCCAGCAGAGAGAGAAGCAAAGGCCCAATGGCATCCACGTGTAGAATTTCCTAATTCTCCTTAAAAAACAATTTTGTGGTTAGCCGTGTTTCCCGTGTGTTATTCCTTCAGTATTTGCTTGCAGTGCCTAAGGTGTAATTGCATAATGAGCAATTACGGAATTCTCAGGTGCCGCTTATTATGTATGTGTTTTACTTCAGTTTGTGCAATATTCCTGGAATAAACGTTGTGCAGACTTCTGGCAACTTCCCTTAATCCTACTCGGCTCCCCACCTCCCAGCTACTGTCCTTCATTTATCTTTGCAGAAGACTTCTAATTAAGTGCAGTAGTTCTTCACAGTTTTATAGGATGTTCACGTCTGAAGTGCAAGTCGGCACCAGCTGTCAATCCTGGAACTCGCTGAAACATTTTCCGAGATGCAGTTACATGAGCTGTCCTTGAAATTTAAAGAAA